CATGTATACCCATGTATAGAAAACACTTTGCCCTGTCCCTTTGTCCTGCCCGTGGGAGATCTGGAAGCTGTTTCTTGTGAGGGGTGGGGAAGAGAGATCTCAGGATGATGTCTAAGTTCTCAGTGAAACCTGCTCTTCTTCTCTTTGAATGTTTCCCACCTCCAGCTCCAGTGCAGGTGTCTAGCTCAACAATTACCCTTATTTCTTTTACCTTGTCTTTTACTTTTTTATTAGGAATACAAATGGAAATTTGTTGAGTTTTAGCTATTTTGCATATGTTTTGCCTGAATATTAGAATTTGTCATAATCAATGTAATTAACACAAACTATTTCTGTATGGGAAAACATGAGTCAAATTTAAGCAATTTATCTTTTTGATTTTTTGAGACAGAGTCTTGCTCTGAAACGCAATGCCTCAATCTCTGCTCACTGCATCCTCCACCTCCTGGGCCCAAGTGATTCTCCTGTCTCAGCCTCCTGAGTAGCTGGGATTATGGGTCCATACCATCATGCCCAGCTACTGAACTTGAACTCCTGGCCTTAAGTGATCTGCCTGTCTCAGCCTTCCAAAGTGCTGGGATTACAGGCATGAGCCATTGTACCATAATTTTGGATAACTTTTGAGGAAATTAGGAAAATACACACTTCTGCTCAATTAGTAATTATTACAATGCTGTATCTACCAATGTTCAAATCCTTTAACTGTAGAATTAGGAGAAATACCCTAAAATTTTAGAAGGAAGATGGTCAGTTACCTTACAAGTTAAATGTTTTGTGTAAAGCGTCTATATGTTCTTCAGCAAAATATGGCTTTCATACAGATAAGCACACAAATTATAAGTTCCCAGCTCCATTAATTTTCACAAAGTGGAACACACTAAAGCAACTAGGACTCAGAACAGGAAGGAAAACATTAATAAAACCTTTGAAGTCCTTCATGCTCCTTTCTAGCAGTCACTTATGTAACACTGTAGATTAGTTGAAAACTTGTATGTGAATTGAAACATACAATTTGCACCTTTTTTTGGTGGTGAGGGATGTTCTTTTGCTCAGTTTTTTTCTTTCTTTCTTTTTCTTTTTCTGAGGCAGAGTCTTACTCTGTCACCCAGGTTGTAGTGCATTGGTGCCATCTCGGCTCACTGCAGCCTTTACCTCCCAGGTTCAAGCAGTTCCGTGCATCAGCCACCTGAGTAGCTGGGATTACAGGCACCTGCCACCACACCTGGCTAATTTTTGTAGTTTTAGTAGAGATGGGGTTTCAACAT